TATATATCTTACATATATCTCAAAACTAAGAAATATATCCATCAAAGAGTCCTAATCGTTTTGGATTTTTATTTACTTTAGAAAATTTATCAACATCTATATCAATCCACATATATGAGATTTTTTTAAATAGGTGATTTAGGATATCACCAATCTAACTGGATTGAGATTTCTTTAAGTGGGTAATTTAGGATAGCACCAAATCCAGCAAGATTTGGGTCGAGTCGAGATCAATACTAACCCGACAATGTTTAGGATGGACTTAAATAATACCTTAGTCAGGTCCAGGTTAAATGGACACAAAGCTCGCCTATCAAATCTAGTATTTGAATCCAGACATACCAGGGTCGTGTTGGCAGGGCGGAGGGCGGATTGATGGGTGGATCCAATCCAATTCATACCCCGAACCTAAACGTTTGTAAATCTTCGATAACATTGTTAATTATTCGGTTTGATTGTTAATAGGCAAATTTATCGAAATACTCCTATTTTCAACTATTTAATATGCTATTCTTTATTCTACTATTCTAAATCAAAATCATACATATTTTGATGAAAATTTTGAAATTAAATAAAAAGAAATGGGCAAATGGTTAAATACTTAACATCTTGGGTGCATTTTGACGTATCTCGCTTGTTAATAAAGTGAAATGATTTTTTCTCCCATGGAGGTATAATGTTCTTTCAGTCCATAATGTGAAACCCATGCCTGGAGTATTTTTAGCACCCCAAATTTTGGGGATGTAACCTCTTGACCCAAGTGATTGACTTTGGAAAAAAATAAAAAAAATAAAATTGCACATTCTATTTATCTAACAAAAATAAAGCTTCAAGATTGAGCATAGACCATCCAATTTGTAGATGGAAAGATCTAAATTCTTTTAAAACCCAAATTTTATTTTTTTCAGGGTACTTATATGGCATAATCCTTTACTTTTTGGAATTTAAAAATGATCTAGAAAAACATTTCATCATTTGTTTTCACTTCTTAAGAAGTAGTACCCTCCAAGGGTTTCTGATTAGAACTACATTAGTTATTGTTTCGGATTAGAACTACATTAGTTCTTACATTTATATCCATTCAATATTCACAATCTATATTTTTAGGTGAATCAATATTCACAACCATCACGTATACCAATCGAGATTTATTCGGACGGATGGGCCTCCTTACCAAAAACAAAAAAAATTTAAATGAAGGAGTAGATTAAGCTGGACGGTATTGTACTCTTGCGTGACTCTATTGTAATTTACTCCCTCGGGTATACCCAATTTAGTTGCAATTTCAACCCCTTCAGCCAATAAACTCATTTCATGGGTTTTTTTTTCAATTATTTGGAGATAGTTACATGAATCTTGAATCCTGTAAGTCATATTACCACTAAGTGTGTAAGTCCTATAGAAAATACCCTATTATAAGTAGATACTGCAATTCAAGATTCATAGAAAGTTTTGATGAAGTTTTTTTTTCTTGGGTAAGTTTTATGGTAAAACCTCATTTACCCGAGCTTGGGATGGGTCAAGAAAAGCCCAAGGTCTTCACTCTTTTTAGAACATCTTTAATTTATAAACTAATCTTAAAATATAAAAAAAAGAATGGGCTCAAGGCTAAGTGGGAGGGGCGTAAGGCTAGAAATGGGCTCTTCTAAGGTTGGTAGATTAGTTTCGCTTCGGCTGAAGAGGCTAAAGTCTTTAGATTTTTGGCCTAGATAGAAGCAAAACGAAGCTCAAGTGCATCCGTTTTGGCCCACTTCAATATGGTTCGGTCGAAGCACAAAATTACTTTTTAAAAGGACAATTTTGTGCTCAGCTTGCTTTGGTGTGATTCCGCCTCTGCTGCTGAAGCTTCTGCCCCTTTGGCTGAAGTGTAAAATCATCTTTTTTTTATTGAAATTTTTATTTTAAAAATTGTATTATTATTTTTATATAAATATCTATTATTAATATTAATTTTTTAAAAAAATTCTAAAATCTGAACCAAATTGCTTCATTTTTCAAACAAAACTAACGAAACTCGAAAGCGAATGAATCTGATAATAATGGGCTTCTTGAAAAGAGTGACGTCCCGTGAACATAAACGGTCCAATTTTTATAACCATCTACTAATCCTCCGTGGCTCCCAAAATTTAGATCGGAAAAATCCTCCTCCTTTAGGGACCGAGGGAGCAGGCACACAGTGTATATACTCCCGCGGGAGCACAGCATACACGCTTAGTAATTTGCACGAGCCGCGAGGGCCGGCTCTGCGCTGTTTCCAGAACTGGACCAGAGATGGCAGGAAGGATCGCAGCGAGAAACATTTCTACGGTTTTATGCTCTCGAACCAGGCACTTTCTCTCTCCTTCCTTCATGCCATTTGAGTCCTCTCTAGGTTGCCTTCCTGTTGATCCCACTTTCACCGCATACGGTAATAGTTTCACTCCTCTTCTCTCTCCTTTGATCCTTTGACTTCCCTCTCTTCAGACCTTTCTCTCTCTCTCTCTCTCTCTCTCTCTCTCTCTTTCTCTCGATCGCACTGAAATTCTGTCATTTGGCTTCTACCTGGTGTGTTTAATTGACGATTCTCATTTACGGGTCCGTGTATTTCATTGAGCATGATGTGTAGTCTCTGATGATTGAAGTGCATTCATGCTACGTCCATTGAATTTTAGGGTTCGGTTCTCATATATGAAACCCTAGATTTAGCTAGAGTAATGCATTATTTGTGTTCTTTCGTTCATATGCTGGCCTTACTTTCTAAATTTCTTGCCCGAAACTATAATTTATAATTTTGTTATTAATTATTGTGGAGTAGAGTTTTGAAATTATGTAAAACTTGCTTCTTATGATTGTTTCTTTTATCTATGTTTGTGGCCATTGTGTGTCAGATTAAAGTGATTAGTTGTTTACTATTCTTTTTCTTTGATCAGTAATTAGTTTTCAGTTGTAATGTAGATGAGAGCAAATTTCATATTGCGTATAATGCAAACTAAATTGAAAACTAACAAAAGAAGGAAAGGAAATTAGCGAAAAAAAATCAATGTTTTTAATCTCGCCTCAGGTCCCCTGACTTGGCCCTGACCCGAGGCACGTGACTCAGCCTAGTGGACTCGGGCAAGTAGCGGACAGGGCCCAAAAGGCCCTAAAAAATGAAAAAAAGTTAAAAATAAAATGAAAATTGTAAAAGTGAAACAAACGGAAGGCAAGATAATAAGTTCAAAAAACGCTAAGAAAATATATATAAAACATAGATTTAGAAAAAATTGATTCATGATTGGAGACATATTAGAAAATTCAAAATGAGAGGAAAATATATGTATAGGGCAGATGGAAACAGAATTAGACACAAATTATTGTTAAAAAAAAATCCAAATTATACATAATTTTTATACATTGGTTCCACATTTTTATATTCTTTTACGTTTTTTTTTTTTTAATTTTAAGTGGCTCAAGTTGCGTCCGAGTACTTGGCTCGGCAAGGAGTTGAGCCCAAGTAACTCAGCCGAGTCTGAGTGGACTCGGATGAGTTTTGAATCATTAACAAATGCATAATTATGTAAAGGAAAATTGTTTCATGCGGGCTGGACCAAATTTCTACATATACGGTCTAGAAAGTGTAAAGCATCCATCTTAAAGATGGATGCAAGTAGGTGTTCCATCTAAAAACAATGGAAACTACCGGTCCGAATGTTTTCTTACTAGAATTATTATTTCAAGGTTTTAAAATTTACTTATTTTTTCATATTTATGATCTCTCTATTAAAGATTATACTTAAAAAAATTAAGTCTTAAAATCCATCTAAAAAGTAGATTTATTAAGAGGCCTGCATTTCTACATATGCGGGCATGGCCACATAGAAACTGGCTCCTTATGTAAATGAATGACATATGATGCAGATATTTGGCAATGGCTGGTATGCAGTATTTCATCAAGGTTTGCCATTTAGTTAGAACTTAAAATTGTTTGAAAAAAGGAAAAAAGAAAAAGAAAGAAAGTGGTTGAATTATTTCATACAATTATTTGATTGAATGCACCCTAATCTACCTCATTCATTATAAGATTCTATTGATTGGTCATCATCATCACCATCGTTATCATCATCATTATTGTATGTTTGCTTTTTCCACAACACCCTTAGTTTTCAAACTAAAAGGTCCTCTTGTTGTGCCAACTTTAGGATGATGATCACTTTTACCCACCCAAAAGAAGACAACCTCTTCTGTTTCAGTTTCTCGCGTATCCCACTTCAACTAGGTTACTACAATACTTAAACCTTTAGTGCTCTAAACAATTCAAGATCTTGGCTTTCGAAGACCATATGTAATTCAAATCAACCTATATCTCCATTAGATGCCCTCAATTATTCTTAACACAAAACGTTCTCCCTTGCTTATGCTTCCCATGTTCTAGACTCTCCTATTCCACTTCTTGGGACAACTGTTTCCCATTTTGCCAACAATGCACACTGACAACTGTCTAATGTGAATAATGAATGTTTTTCATTATCATATTTTTTAAGTGTTAATTGGGTACTTTTTCTTTTTGCTATGTTAAGCGTTTTTGTTCCTACAGTCCTTATCTTTGGATATTGCACATTTTATCTTCCTTCTGGCTATAGTTCTAATTATGATCTCGCCCTTGCATATTTGTACTGCACTTTTGTTGACATTTTAGGCATGCTTGTATTGATTTCTATTTCGTAATTTTAGGACGATCACTTGATGTTACCCCCAGTTCAAAAAATAAAAAATAAAAAATATTTTTTATTTTTTATTGTTTTGAACCAGCTGTACCTAGATACTGACATTACTCTTGTGATTGGAATGCCAACAATGTGCAGTTCTTCCCATATAACTATAATCTATTCATGAACTGGCAATTGGGTTTTCCTTGTAGGGCGATGTTCTGATGGGGACATATAGACTGCATGATGCTATCATGTCCTATTTTTCACATTCCATGACATAATTTTGAAAGACTCATCATGGTCATTTCAAAGATTCCAAAATGTTTGTAAGTTATTTTAACCTTGGCAAACATTTCTGGTTATCTCCGTTAGTATTGTGAAAATATTGGACTTAATTTTGAGATAGTAATTTTAACTTGCAGTTGGCTGCTCAGAAATATTTTTTATATACTCTGTCATGTGTCTATAATCTTGCTCATGTATGCCATTATCAGTTCTGGACATGGGACAGCTTTTTTCTGCATATTTCCCTTTACTCAATGAGAAAAACCTGTTTTCTTCATCCACTGATTTCCCAACCCTTCTGACTATGCTATACACTCCTTTCTGGGTAATCTACAGGCTTCCTTTTCATGTTCACTGAGTTTCAAGACATCCCGTGAGTGTTTTTTACTCTCTTGCTAAGCCTCTGACTCATAGTCTACATGATTGATGAGATACTATTACACCCAATGCTCAAGTGGCTTTGATGAACTTGCAGAAAAATTTGTTTACAAGTTTTACTTTAGCAATGGTTTAAAAAAGACTTTGGATAGATGTCCACGTACTAAAGCAAAAGGGAGGAGAAACTTCCTTGAATTATTCGCCCAACTAAGAGATGTCGCATCAAGGCCTCTCGAGCCCCCAAGAGGCAGTTATTCTTCATTGGCTTCTTTGATGATATCTTGGAGTAATGCATTTGGAAGACTTCTCGACCTATAATGTAATGATATGAAGATTCAGAGAAAGCCATAAGCAGTCCCTGGGAGTCTACTAATTGCCAACTCTGAAATTCATTAAGCCCTGATTACAAAGAGAAGGAATCCAAGGGGAAAATTTATGTCCATGTGGAACACCTCTCGAACAAGACTAAAAGGCCTGAATCCCCCCAACCAAATTTATAAGCCTATAAACCTTAGTGTAAATGGGCCTATAAGTCCTAAATTTTTATGTGTAACTTTTATTGATAGGTAGCAATACATATTCTACTTTTTAAATTGAAATACAATTTCTGAAAATTAAGCAAATTGAATTGCTATGGTTTTCTCCTAGTGACCGGATACACTGGAACTGCAGAGTGGCTTCATAGAGAATCAGTATTTGTCATCTTGGTCATGGGATCTGGATATGGGTCGACCTTGAAATCTTGGGACCAGTAATATGGTTAACAAGTGGTTTGGCTTAAATGCCCATGAGGATGAGGTTCTGTACTTCCCTCTTTTTGCAACAGGATTTTCTGGTTCATTTTGCACTTCATATGCACATGATTGATCATTTGCCCATAGATACCTGAATGTGTTTACATAGTTGTCCTCTCAATTTACATTCATTACCACTCAGCTTTTACAATTTTAACTTGGCATCTAAATTCTATATTATTGCAACTAGCAGGCTTCCTGTTTTAATGAGAATTGGAGACAGACGCTCATTCAGTGCAGATGTGAGTCAGTTACCCGTAATAACTGACCCTGATATCTTGCCCCCATTCAAGGATTTAATGGCTGCAAGTGGGACGAGCTTCCCGATGCTGTTGTCCATGATGCCAAGAAAGCACTTTCAAAATCGACTGATGACACGGCTGATCAGGATGCCTTGGCAAATGTTTTTCGAGCTGCGGAGGCTGTTGAGCAGTTTGGTAGAGTCCTTGTATCTCTGAGAATGGAACTCGATGATGAAACTGGAATTAGTGGCGAGGTACATTCCATGCTTGATTATTTTCAGCATTTAGTGTAATGACTTTAATTCATTTGGTTTGGGGGCATGGTCTTTGGGATGGGGAGCGGGATAGGGGGACCATGAAAGGCAAGAAGGTCCGTATGGTTGGAAGCGTAATGCATATGTTTAGGATCAAGATCCCAAATGCTAGGGACCTCGACCCCACCCTTGCGGGGTTCTTGTTCCTGACCCTTTTGGGTTTCAACCGCAACCTTTTGGAGATCTTGCTCCCATCCTTAAAGAGTTTATATAGTTTAGGACTTCATATATTCTTTAAAGTAAAATATAGTTGCATTTCAAGCTAACTATAAGTAAACAAAATCATCACTTGATTGTTATCTTGGTCTATAAAGTGGGGATCAAGATCCCTAACAGTGGGGTATTGTTCCCAAACAGTGGCAATCAAATTCTAAAATTTAAAAAGTTGAGATCCCTTGAAGATCCCTTTCCCAGAGCACTGCGAGGTGCCGAAGCGTGATCGCCACCTCTGTTGGGGGATCCCAGCAACCATGACTGGGAGGACATGTTGTTTATATTTTTATTGCAATGCCATAAAAGAAAAATGAAGTACTTTGAGAAACAATTTTCTTTTATTGTTAAGCTGGATCGAATATGCTTGGACTGACCCAGTTCAGACTGATTAATATGCCAAGCCGATCTGGCTAGATTGAACTTGAAAGAGGGAATAATTGAGCCCATTTCCTTTAAATGAGCTGGACAGGTTCGTTCTATCATTTGAACTACTGAATAAGCATGATTGATATAGAGTGTTAAGTATATTTTTGGAGGGGGAAGGGGGGGTGGGGGTGCGGGGGGGTACTTAATTTATTCAATCGTAATTCAATTGGTTGGTTTGGCATTCAAAAGTTTCCACTGATATATTAATATAGACAAACATTATTTGAAGGGAAATTTATCAAGAAGTACCCAAAAGATTAACTATTTAAGATCTCACCCAGTCTTTGATTGAACTTCAAATAGCCCATCAAAGGGCACAATCATGAGCCAGAGTAGTTGATAGTTAAAGTGTGTTTTGAGGGTGAAATGCTATGCGGTTGATGTTTTATGTGTGGTTAAAATTCCCTTATTTGAAATGTACCTATTGAGATTTCATGGTCAAAGAAAATGGACGTGAACCTGTCCAAACAGGATCGCCACACTTTTTGTGTTGGACCCAGTCCAGCTTAGCTCCAGTTTAATATAAATAAGGTTTATTTGAACTAATGTCGATTACTTTATTGTGTCTTGCAGGCTGTGTGTCCCTTGTCAAATGAGCATCAAAAGCTAGGCATGCAGCATATAAGCGCTACGTGGCATATTTAGACTCTTTTGGGCCTGATGAGACATATCTGAGAAAGAAGGTCGAGACAGAGCTGGGGACAAAGATGATACTCTAAAGATTCGATGTGGTGGCCTTGATTCTGAAAGGGGGACGGTAAAATTTCATGTAGTATTGTCTTTTGGATGTCTATTTTGCTAGTGCTAGTAGGTCAACAAATTTGAATGTTCAGTGCTCAACATTCCAGTATTATGTTTTATCCTTGAATCTTTTAAGGAAATTATAATTCCTATGCTTGCATACTTGCGAAAGAAAAAATGTACTGGTCGGTTCAGTTAAACTTGAAGCAGCGCCTGTTTGGCTAGACCTTATAACTGGCGCTGAACTAGCCAAATTATCAGAGCAGTCTGAACCCTATCCTTAACCGCCCACTCATTTTAAGCTTTGGGAATTTCTCTTTTGTATGGGATAGGGACCATGGGCAGGATCTAAACCTCTACCTCATGAAACCCAAGCACAAAAATCATCTCATGAGCATTTCTACTTGTTATTATGTTGATGTTTCAATTAATGAATGCATATACTTTCTTGTTGGGCACATAATACTATTAACGTAGAGAATACATTAACTTAATGATATTAATCCTGGATGTTGAAGTTTGGAAAATGCTAGTATACTCGAACTCTGCTTGCTTATCGTTGTTATCCTCAAATGATGTGTAATTTGTCATATTTTGCAGATCACGGTTCTTGGGACATCAGGACTTTCAGGATCCTACATTGAGCAAAGAGCTTGACTGTATGGACATACATTCAGCGGTGGGCATGCCTCTTTTCCTTGGGAAGATATCCTCTGCACCCTTTGTTGAGCATCCAAAACTGCAGTGTAATGCTTAATTTATTCAATCGTAATTCAATTGGTTGGTTTGGCATTCAAAAGTTTCCACTGATATATTAATATAGACAAACATTATTTGAAGGGAAATTTATCAACAAGTACCCAAAAGATGAACTATTTAAGATCTCACTCAGTCTTTGATTGAACTTCAAATAGCCCATCAAAGGGCACAATCATGAGCCAGAGTAGTTGATAGTTAAAGTGTGTTTTGAGGGTGAAATGCTATGCGGTTGATGTTTTATGTGTGGTTAAAATTCCCTTATTTGAAATGTACCTATTGAGATTTCATGGTCAAAGAAAATGGACGTGAACCTGTCCAAACAGGATCGCCACACTTTTTGTGTTGGACCCAGTCCAGCTTAGTTCCAGTCTAATATAAATAAGGTGTATTTGAACTAATGTCGAATACTTTATTGTGTCTTGCAGGCTGTGTCCCTTGTCAAATGAGCATCAAAAGCTATGCATGCAGCATATAAGCGCTACGTGGCATATTTGGACTCTTTTGGGCCTGATGAGACATATCTGAGAAAGAAGGTCGAGACAGAGCTGGGGACAAAGATGATGCATCTAAAGATGCGATGTGGTGGCCTTGATTCTGAATGGGGGACGGTAAAATTTCATGTAGTATTGTCTTTTGGATGTCTATTTTGCTAGTGCTAGTAGGTCAACAAATTTGAATGTTCAGTGCTCAACATTCCAGTATTATGTTTTATCCTTGAATCTTTTAAGGAAATTATAATTCCTATGCTTGCGTACTTGCGAAAGAAAAAATATACTGGTCGGTCCAGTTAAACTTGAAGCAGTGCCTGTTTGGCTAGACCTTATAACTGGCGCTGAACTAGCCAAATTATCAGAGCAGTCTGAACCCTATCCTTAACCCCCCACTCATTTTAAGCTTTGGGAATTTCTCTTTTGTATGGAATAGGGACCATGGGCAGGATCTAAACCTCTACCTCATGAAACCCAAGCACAAAAATCATCTCATGAGCATTTCTACTTGTTATTATGTTGATGTTTCAATTAATGAATGCATATACTTTCTTGTTGGGCACATAATACTATTAACGTAGAGAATACATTAACTTAATGATATTAATCCTGGATGTTGAAGTTTGGAAAATGCTAGTATACTCGAACTCTGCTTGCTTATCGTTGTTATCCTCAAATGATGTGTAATTTTTCATAATTTGCAGATCACGGTTCTTGGGACGTCAGGACTTTCGGGATCCTACTTTGAGCAAAGAGCTTGACTGTATGGACATACATTCAGCGGTGGGCATGCCTCTTTTCCTTGGGAAGATATCCTCTGCACCCTTTGTTGAGCATCCAAAACTGCAGTGTAATGCTTAGTTAAGAAGGTTGTTGAAACCAGAAATCATGTTTCTGAATTACTACTTCAATCTAAGGGAAATTTGAGTGCCCTATGAGCTGCTTTCACTTGAATGAGAAACTAGCTTTTGTATCTTGGCAGAGTATGAATAATGAATCACAATTTTCTGGCAACCTTTTATGATAGATGCCATGCATTCCATATTTTTCTTTATATGTTACTGAAATGACAATGTTTTTGCTGCCCTTGAGCAGTCCATGGTTACCTCACCTTTAATTCAGAGTGGGTATTTCTTTGTTTATATAAGTTCTTGCATTGGGCAATCAGATATTCATGCATTTTTAGCTGCTGATTTTCCTTGGAACTCACAGTTCTTTACCATTTTAGCAGAAACAAAGAGCTTTGTGTATTCTGCTTCTTGACCTAGGCCACAACAAGTGTCACATAATCGCTCTCTCTCTATCAATCTCTCTCTCTCTCTCTCTCTCTCTCTCTCTCTCTCTCTATATATATATATATAATAACTAACTAACTAACTAACTAACAACTAAACTAACT